GATGGAAGTGGTTGTGGTTGGCGTTGTTGTGGCTGTTGTGGGTAGTGGATGTGGAGGCAATGATCATTGCGGTCATTGAGATGACGGCACAGGCCTGAGCAAGCGGTGGTGGCCATGGCTATCATAGCAGGTCGCGGTGTATCGTGTGCTAAGGGATGCAGCGCACCTTGCCACGATGAGCGGCAGCTGGAACTTGTGGTCAAACGACATCACAGCGAGACCTGGACACGGGACAATGACGCGAAATAAAAGCGAGACGATGTGAAGCGAGGGAGCATGAGATGAGATGTGGTGACAGGTGATGACATGTGGTGACATGTGGTAACATGAGGTGACATGAAGCCATGCTTGTCTTGCGGTAGCTGTGGCAGTCACAAACACGCACGCACACATACACGCATACACACATACACACACAAAACCGCGCACTTCATCTGCCACCCCCATCACGCCACCAAATTAACGCTGACCGAGGTAGAGGAAGACGGCTGTTTCGCCGAGGAACGCAATGGTGCGAAAGGTCTGACGCGCAGTCACTGATGCACGCGCACACGCACGTAGATGGCAGTGGCAGTGTGAGGGGTCATGCGATGACGCATGCGAGTGTAAGAGGTAACGCACGCACCATACACAAAACAACACACCTGACACACACGCAACGCCTAACACGCACAACACCCAAACAAGAAGCAGGCAACACCGACACGAGCACCTTGGGTGCGTGGGGAGAGGTTGAAGCGGGTGTAGTGTGCGTGTGTGATTCCGCCAAAGAGAATGGCCATAATGCCGCTCAGGTCAAGCGCTTCCGCCAGCGCATACGGGCTGGTGGTGGCGGTGGCGGTGATTGTTGGGTTGTGAATGAATTGGTGATGGGATGGGTGGTAGAGGTTGTGGTGATTGGTCGTTGGTGGTGATTGGTCACAATGGCGTGAGTGGTGACGAACTACAAACGCAGAAGTATGGTGCACTGCCATTCACTTCCACCACCAACAACAACAACAGCAACAGCAACAGCAGCAGCAACAGCAGCACCACCACCAACAACAACAACAACAGCAGCAGCAGCAACAACAGCAACAGCAGCAGCAACACCACAATCACGGCCACCAAACAGCACCAACAGCACAACCCACAGGTAGGCGAAGATGACGAAGAGGGAGAACTCGAGCGCAGGCCATGACCGCAACTCCACGTGTTTGAGGGCGAGGGCGCCGAGAAGACCGAACACAACGCCGATGGCCGCCGAGCCAACGCTCGCAAGCAGGAACTCCTTGATCACCTGCAGATGACGAGGAGGAGGGGTGATGGTGGCGGTGGTAATTAGTGGTGGTGGTGGTGGTGGTGGTAATTAGTGGTGATGGTGGTGGTGGTGGTAATTAGTGGTGGTTGAAATGGCGATTGGGGTAAGGTGACCATTGGGTTGGCGAAAGTGCTTCCTCACAAACACGTGCGTGTCCAAATTCTTCGGCCAAATCACAATTACTGCTACCACCACAAGTCAATCAATCACCACTACCACGACGCTGCATGTGTGTGTGTGTGTGTGCGTGCGCGCGCGCGTGTGTGTGTGTGTGTGTGTGTGAGTGTGAGTGTGTGTGTGTGTGTGTGTGTGTGTGTGTGTGTGTGTGTGTGTGTGTGTGTGTGTGTGTGTGTGTGTGTGTGTGTGTGTGTGTGTGTGTGTGGGTGGGTGCGTGTGCGCGTACGGTGAAGAAGACGGCAGAAGAAATGGCCTTGCGGTGACCGAGTTGCAAGATGGTGCGCGTGAGCACAATCGAGACGGCGTCGTTGAGAACGCTCTCCCCAAACACGAGCATGTACAGCGTGCGGTCAATGTCGAGGGCCTGGAAGATGGCCAGCGTTGCCACGGGATCCACCGCGCTGATCAGCGACCCAAACGCAAAGCTGTAGCATGGTGCGGGGGAGGTGTATGTGTGATCGGGGTGTGTGTGTGTGTGTGTTGTGTAACACGTGTGTGTGTAACACGTGTGTGTGTATGCGTGTGTATGCGTGTGTTGTGTGATCGTGTGAGCTGAAGGCTTGCATTGCATGGCAGTGTGGATTTATTGCGCAAGAGCTTCAGGTCCACAGATACACGGGTATTAAAACACGGCCACGGCAGCACAACAGCAACGTGTGCCCACCTCTCTGTGATGGACAGTTTGTAGACCCATCCGGCCGAGCCGCACCAGTACACGCCAAAGCCAACCTGCAACGAACGACGCACATGCACACGTGAGGGGAGAGTGAGGCAGGTAAGGCAATGTTACGATGCTAAATAGCAACCCACTTGCCATCACCATCATCATCATCACCACCATCATCATCACCCTCATCACCATCACCATCATCATCATCACCACCGCCATCACCACCATCATCACCATCATCACCATCACCATCATCACCACCACCACCGCTCATCGCACATTCGCGTGACGGACCACAAATGCGGAGAGGACGGTACCGACTACAGCGAAGATCAAGATGGCGCTCAGATTCG